TTTTGTTTTGAGAAAACCCAAAGAAATAGTCCCAGGTGAGCACCTGGAGATTATAATTAGAATACCATACTCTCTGCTTTTGTCTCAGCTCATTAATCATTTTTCTTTTGTTTAAAGCAGTTATTAACATCTTTGGGTCGACAGTGAGTAACATTATATTCGTGTCCTTTAGGAACTGATGAGAAAAAGCTCATCAACATTCTGACGGAGAGGTCTCACGCACAGAGGCAGCTGATCGTGAAAGAGTATCAGGCGGCGTATGGAAAGGTACAATGTGATGAACACGCTGGCCAGTAGAGAGATCATTGCTCATGCGCCAGAGACAGTCCCGTGTGACTGCCCACGGATCCTTTGTCCCACGCCCCATAGCACTGAAGGCACCCCGTGGAGCCACTCAACAGCTGGGAATCTGTGTCTTGCTTCTACCCTTTGGGGACTGAATGATCTTGGGCGTGGTACTTGAACTTTCGAGGCCGCCGTTTCTTCACCTGTAAAGGAAGGAAGGCTGCGTCAGATGATCACTTCTAAATTGGGCTGCTCTGGTGACAGCTGGAGACGCTTCACAGAGCCCCGGTGGGGCAGCGGTTATGCCCTGGGCTGCTAACCGTAGATCAGCTGTTCGAAACAGCCCCTTCTCGGGAGAAAGCTGGGCTTCCTGCTGCAGCAAAGAGTTCCAGTCTTCGAAACTCACGGGGCAATATAGGCCCTGTCCTGTAGCGCTGCGATGAGTCGGCATCGCCTCAGTGGCGGTGAGCTTTGGAGGCCCTCCTGATTGTCACAGCGGGCGCAAAGGAGTGCTTTGGCCTCTAGACCGGGGGTGCTGAGAAAGGTTCTGTAGTGTGCAGGACACCCCCCCCCCCCCCCCATGCAAAAGGTTTTTGGTTCTAAATGCAAACAGTGCCCCAACTGGCAACCTCTGCCGTATATGAACTTCAATTTCTCTTCCAGTTTTAAAATGTTTATAAAAAACGTTTAACCCATCCACCAAATCAAAACTCATTAAGTGCTATGTAACTACGAAGAAACTGTGTAAGAATGAGTTAGACTTGGTCCTTGTCATATACCCACTTTGTTTGACATCTATTTGTTGGATACTATGGAGTCAAGAAAGGAAACTTGGTGGCTTTATTTTGTAGGAGTTGGACTGCTGACTGCAAGGTTAGTGGTTCAACTCCACCAGCCACTCCAAGGGAGAAAGACATGGTAATCTGCTTCTGTCAAGATTGATAGCCTTGGAAATCCTATATAGGGTCACTGTGAGTCGGAATTGCTCAATGGCAGTGGGTCTGAACTCATCAAGGAGTCTTGGCAGTGCAGTGTGTAAGTGCTTGACTGGTAACCAAATGTCAGCAGTCCAAATGCGCCAGTGCCTCTATAGGAGACCTGGCATGGCCTGGCAGCCTGCTTTTATAAAAACCACAGCCTAGGACACAGGGTCAGGATGACTTGGAATTGACTCTGAGTGTCAGAAGGGTGGTACACTTGTGTAAAAACAGATGGTGCCTTTCACAGAACTCACATTCTCCTGGAAGTAGAGTAAGTCCATAAACTCAGATATTGTTAAGTGCCATGAAAAAGTTAATGCAGAGTGATGTGATGGAGGATATTCCCGGGAGATGGACTGGGAAGAAATGTGACTTGGAGGGCTTGTTGCTTTCCTGTCAACCAAGACTGAGTCCTACGAGGGCACCCGGCGGTTGTTGTTTTTGTTGTTATTGTTAGGTGTCGTCAAGTTGGTTCTGACCCAGAGTGACCCCAGGCACTACAAAATATAGCACTGCCCGGTCCTCTCCCATCCTCACAATTGTTCCTGTGCTTGAGCCCATTGTTGCTGCCATGGCATCAGTCTATCTCCTGGAGGGCCACCTTCTTTTTGCCCCCCTTTGGTTTACCGAACATGGCGTCCTTCTCTCGGGACTGGTCTCCTGACAATATGTCCGATGTATGCCAGAAGAAGTCTCGCCATCCTCGCATTTAAGGAGCGCCCTGGCCTTCTACCAGCATATACCTGTTTGTCCTTTTGGCAATCTGTGGTACTTTCAGTATTCTCCAGCTCCACAAGTCAAACGCATCAGTGCTGCTTTGGTCTTCTTTAGTCAATGTCCCATTTTCACATCTATATGAGGCAATTGAAAATACCATGGCATGGGTCAGGTGCACCTTAGTAACATTCTTGCTTTTCAACACCCTAAAGAGGTCTCGCGCAGCATCTTTACCTAATGCAGCACATCTTTTGGTCTCTCACCTTCTGCTTCCGTGAGTATTGTTTGTGGATCCAAGCAAGACGAAATCCTTGGCAACTTCAGCCTTTTCTTTAGTCATCATGATGCTACCCATTGGTCCAGTTGTGAGGACTTGGGTCTTCCTTCCATTGACTTGTAATCCATACTGAAAGCTGCACTCCTCGGTCTTCCTCAGAAGCTCTTCAATCCTCACTTTCAGCGAGGAGGTCCTGTCATCTGCATATCACAGATTGTTACCCTTCTGCCAATCATGTCACCTTTTTCTTCATTTAGGCCAGCTTCCCTGATTATTTGCTTACCATACGGTTGAGTGCATATGGTGAGAGGGGCCAGATTATGCATCAGTCATTGCGATCAGTTCCCCCGCCTTCTCCCACCTTCCCCTACGCTCCTGGTATCACGACTCGCGTTTCTCTTCCTGAGGGGTTTATTTGTCCTGGATTCTGTGTGCTGTGAGCTCTCATCTGTACCACTGTACATGGTCCGGCCTAGCCAGAAGTGAAAGGCAGGACTGGGGTCATGATAGTGAGGGGTGAGGAAGCCTCAAAGAACCAGAGGAATAGTGTGTGTTTCATTGGTGTTACACTGCACCATAGGCCAATACCTCTGTTTTTATGAATGAATATATTTACATAAGTGCATACCTATGTTTATACCTCTGTCCTTAGCTTTGCTTCCTAGATCATTCCTGTTTCCTTTTATCTTTCTTCTGACCCACTATCATGCTCACCTTCTTCTGCCTACCGTAATTCCTGCTTTTTTCATGACTGATGTTCTTGAGGTCCTTCCATGGATCACCAGGTCTCCTGTCATTCGTATGCACTGTGGGAGCGCATCAAGAACATGCAGCAAATCTCTCCTTGGAATGTTCTTGAAATTCAAGTGGGATAGACTCAAGATAATATTTTGGCTCTCGTGGACTTGTTTTAATTTTTTAAAGTATTATCCTGAATTTGCATATGAGCAACTGGTGGTCTGTTCCCCAGTCAGCCCCTGGCCTAGGTTTCCCCGCTGTTATTGCGCTTCTCCGTTGTCTCTTCCCACAGATGCAGTCAATTGGATTTCTGTGTGTTCCATCTGGAAAAATCCATGTGTAGAGTTGCAAATTTAAACAGTTGAGGCAGAGAAAAGCTTAGAATGATAAATGATAAAAACTTGATAAATAGAAAGAAGTCCATTATGGCTGGAGTCTAGAGAGTGAAATGGAACAGAGAGAGAAGACGACATTGAAGAATTATTTGAAAGATGCTGGCCCCTGGGGGTCTTGGTACAGGGTTAGGTTTTATTCTAAGGGTAGAGGAGACGTTGAAGGCTTACAGGCAGGAGAATATACAATGCCATTAATATCTTTAAAAGCTTACTTTGACTGCAGTGCCGAATGAACTGCAGAGGAGGAAGAGTGGAAACAGATCAGTCAGGCTGTGGAGTGGTCGAAGGGAGAGATGAGAGTGTCCAAAGATCCATGGGCACCTCACTGTGTTCTAGCCCCCCAAATCCATTAAATCATCCTTCTCAGTGTTTCTTCTGTCACACACTTACCATATTCTATCAAAATGTTATCTTAGGATATGTGTGCTCTTTTCCCCTTAGGGCATAATGTCCTTGAGGCAAGGCTTGTGTCTGTCTGCCTCACTTAGGACAGTAAACACTTGTTGAATTGAGTGAATTGGCAAACTTCTGGGCAAGGCAACACACTAGTGTACAGGGAATAGGAATGGCCCACTGACTTAAGAATTTCTAAACTGTGGATGGAAGATGAAGGTTAAGGGAAATAACCATTTCTCACAGTGGGATAGAATGAGAGCTTGTGAAATCTCACAAGCTCAGCTGGAATCTCTTGGGTTGAGGACAGATGGTCGTGAAGTTCAGAATTTGGAGAGCAAACACACTGTGATGATGAAAGCGGAGCTAGGAACACTTGGCTCCTTCCCATTTATTTCTGCAGGGAGATGCCCCTGCTGTGTGTGCACGTGTGCACGCACACACACAGGTGCATGCACACATACACTCACACACCCCAATTCAGTATTGATCTGTCCCCACACTGCTGTGGCACTCTGGAAGGCTTCTGTTCTCTGATTCAGGGGAAATAGCATTCCTTTGAACATTAAAAATAGAAACCACAGTACTTTATAGTGAAGCAGGGGAGACGTATGTAGTGTGTAGAAACAGTGACAGAGGGCAACATCAGTGAGCAGCATCTGCCCCATTGCCACATTTCAGGATTCCTTTACTGCTGTTGCCAGAAAAATGCTGCTGAGCCCCTCGAGCTGCAAGCGGTCCCCAGAGGCTAGTGGCCAAATCGTATCCCTTATTCCCTTTTTCTCCCGAGTTCCTTGGCAGACCCTGAGAAGGAATAAGGCACCTACCGGCGAAGTGCCCCTTCCCTCACTCCATCTTCCCTCAACCCAAGCCAAGCCTGAGAGCATGGAGGACCTAGGCTGTGCACATCAACACCCAATTCTGGAACTTCCCAACCAAGGGGGATTAGCAGAAAAGCCTGATGATACACTTCTGAAAATGGGCTCTTGAAAGCCCTATCGATACTAGTGATGACGCACGGCGGATGCAGGGGAGCACCAGACGGCCTGTTGTTATCTTGTGCTGCTATGTCTCGGGCACCGATGTAGCAGCACCAACAGTTGAAGTCTGAATTAGCTTGGTGGTGATAGGTTGCTGATAGGTGGCGATAGGTTCTGTTTGCTTTTTTTTTTTTTTTAAACCAAAATTGAGACACACATGCGGTTCTCTCCTTCAGGTTTCCTGCAAAAAAAAAAAAAAAAAAGCCTTTAATAAGAGAGGACGTTTGGGAAATCATAATACAATGCAGATTCATCTCCATCGAGAGGACATCTGTGTTCCTTCCCGGTGGGTGGGCATGCTTTCGTCGGATCCTGATTTGCGTCTGTGTTCACCTTTCACTGGGCGACTGTAGAGAAAGGAAGAAATGAACAGTACGTCATGCTTCTGTCTTTGGGTCTTTTTATTTTAGGAGTTGAAGGATGACTTGAAGGGTGATCTCTCCGGCAACTTTGAGCACATCCTGGTGGCCCTGGTGACGCCACCAGCAGTGTTCGATGCGAAGCAGCTGAAGAAATGCATACAGGTGAGCCCTGCACAAGCCTTGGCTGCTCAGGACTTGACTCTGTCTTCAACATGAGTGGCTTGCTCCAGCACACACTGGCCTACCCTAGCCATCACAGTGGCCACATGGCAGTTTGAGTTTGCTCTTCCCAGTTGGAAGGACTGAAGTGGGGAGCAGTCATGGAACTTTGAGCCCAGATCTTCCTAGGCCAACGGGATCCTGTCATACCCTTTATTTATTTGTTTGTGTGTTGTTTTTTCTGCCATGCAGAATCCAATGTTCTAGCTCGTTGTCATGTACCATCAATGGTACCATCATCACCCCGTTGCGTAGGCCAAGAGCCTAAAGATAAATAGTTCCTTGACCCTTTGCCTTCTCTTATCTTTAGAACGAGGTAAATCTGTTCGTTCTGTTTCCATC